AAACATCAATCAAAGAATTTTATTCTTGTTTTATACTATAACTTCTGTTTAAATAACCTAATTTATTGTATTTTTATGTCAAGTTTTTTATATAATTAATAACATTGTATCCAATTTTACTAGTACTGCGGTTCGGTGGTGTATACATGTTAATCATGTATTTGCCTGATGATGGCTATTAACAGCCGAAACTAGGCACTTATCTTGATATCAGTTGTGTTGTGACGGTTGTAATAAAGAGGTGTATACTGTAACACAACAGGATGCATGAAATGAAAATTACACATATAACTGTCTGCTGCATGTAGAAGAAGCAGAATTTCCTTTTTTTGTGTAAGGAACTTTCCTTGTCAATATCCAAATACATAGGGCCTACTAGCTAGAATTTTAAAGAAGGAATAACAGTTAAGTTTAGAAATGAAAGTAATATGTCTATATAGTGTACTTGTATACATGTTGCTCAGAATGGCTCATATTTAAACCGAGAATTACTGTGCTGAAACACACATGTAAGTAGCCACAACTTATTCACTACATTTCAAATGCATACAAAAGTTAGAGTATCAGATAAAGAGAATTGGTTTGCTTTACTTGAAAAACAACCCACAACGTTCAATACACCTAAATGTCAGCGCCAACTGTAGCTCATAGAATGTCGAAATGTTACATGATTTCATGTTCTATGTTTTCCAGCATCTTCAGTGTCATAGAAGCAACTGCAGTTTTGATTCCTGTATGAAGTTCAACGGCCCTACAAACTTTAGGACGGAATACCTGGTCTTTTACATAGCCCCAAAAGAAAAAATCCGGTCGGGTTAGATTGGGGCAGCAAGAGAGCCATGGGATTGGTCCGTCCCGCCCAGTCCGTTTGGAAAAGTTTCATTCAGAGACTTTCCCACTCTACGGCCCTAGTGTGGACAGACACCATCTTGCTGAAAGAAAACTTTTGACTGAAGGCGTTCCATCTGCGGAACTACTCTGAAAAGCCTCACGAACCATCTGAGCTGTGTCAACGTCTACTGAAAGCCTATCTGCACTCTTCTCATGCAGGACACTGCCTGTCTCTCCCAACCATCGCTTGATGGACTGTCTTCTGTGTGCTTGCTCCCCATGTTCCGGACGGTACATTCTTCTGCTCTTGAACTGTCTCTCAGTAAAACACAGACTTTGCATGTTGTTGGTGGGAAACTGCTGTGGTCGCTCTAGCAGCGCCACTATCGGTCGGGCAATCAATTATCAAGTAATTTTTTAACGGTTCTTTCGAACAATGCAATTCATTTCCCTATATCTCTAAAACTTTGTGATTTATGTAAGTCTGAAACGTAGCGTATAATTTATGGCCCCTGTGTATATCGGAGCAGATAGTCTGTCGACCAATGTTCATTGTGTTCAATATTTCCTTGCTGATATAACATCAGAACGGTCGGCAGGGCTGAACACCTGTGCCAACAATTCTTCCCGGTTTTCTGTTTGTGAATGTGGTTGCTTTTAGCTTCCAGATTTGTTTTCCTTCTGCTGGGTTAAAGTGAGACAACATTATTCCTCTGGGGCCTACACTGAAAGTATTCATCATGTAATTGTGAAGTCAGATCAATGCAAAACGTGTTTTATATGAAAATCTGACGTAACTTCGACGATTTTCTAAAAAGTGGCTCCTCATACGAAAACCATGTGCAGGATATAACATACAGATTACTTGGATATCAGCAGCTTGTGTCTCAAACATCTGTCGATACTGTCACATGTTTATGGCTCCATGACTAATAATAATGGCTTCTGGAGAGAGGTAAGAAGTAGGGGCTCATCAGATGACCATCGATAATCCCTGCCCACACATTAAAGGCGAAGCGGTGTTGGTGCTTCGGATATGCTTTGCGTTAGGATTTTACTGAGCAGTTTACTGGCAGTTTCTGGAGTTGAAAAATTCCTTCCTTTGGAAAGGTCCTCCTTCACATTTCAGAGGCCCTAGTGCGTAAACAAAGGGTTTCCGTCCATGGGTGCATTAACAAAGTACGATCTTCTTCATTGGTTGCACCCTGTTGTGTGTTACAGATATATATATATATATATATGAATTATGTCACCGACAAAGCAAAAGCTATACAAAGAAAATAAACCAATCGACCAACTGTCAACTGGAAGGATAGCCCAGGTTATAAATTGACAAAATACATATCCACACAGTTATCACATAAATTAAAACTACCATAACCATCGTCTCCAAACAATCTAGTTCCAAACACTGCACAGTGTAGAACACACAGAACGTATACACGCCCAGACATGGAACACAAACGCCATATTTGTACGACCGTAAGTAACATCATCACTATATTTACGAAACTCCCTATATTCTTATATCATTAACACACATTAATTCATATATTTTTTCACGATTACAGATGTAAAGATACATATCGTGTGAATAGCATACCAATATCCACACACCACAACCCGGGTTAAACATGTCACTGATACATGTTACTAACAGAGTCAAGTTAATATAGCACATTCAAAAACATTAACATACAGATACTCATTTAGTGCAGATAGAAACTTGTCGTTGGGATTCACAACCAGGCTTACTACATAGAAAGTTTCTACAATAAGACCTACAAACAACGTACATGCCTATTTTCTACACTGCAGCAGTGAAACCTTAAATATTTAAGTTGGCATGCAATTCTTAACCTTTCACATTTTTTTAACATTTTAATATACTTTTAATATTTTTATAGCATTTAAACATATTATAATTTGATATATGATATACCCTTACATTTGTCTTTTATCTTATTTATGTATTTGCTACTTTATTATAACATCAACTTGAGGCAAGAGTTTTATGTCAGTACATAACATGACGCGTTGCACCGATAAGGATCCATATCGGTATTTCAGTGACTATACGTACAACTGCCTGATGTGACCGAAACATGTAGCAGTATAAAGATCAAAAGTAAAACTGAATATTTGTTGTGTTGACGGTAACATAATTCCTATATATAAAGTATGATCAGACTGAACCCATCTATCTACCACAGAGCGTTGTAACATTAATTTATTTACAATCTGTACACTCCATTTATGCTGTAACGAACCTTATTCCCTTAATGTATACGATCGACAGATAGGCCAATTGCTGTAGTTATAAATCCTGGTTCGAATTCTGAACGTCCAAGATTCGAATGCAATGTCAGTTGTAAGATTTGAGGCTTTCACGGCGGTGACTATGAAGAAAGCAGTCTTCTGGGATTTGGCACCGTGTATATGTGGTGTTAACCGACGTTTCGGAGGAACGTATCGCCTCCATCTTCAGGGTAGAAGAAAAAGTATAAGAAATCTGCAAGCGACAATTACCGTTCTCACGGTCTTGTCGCTTGCAGATTTCTTATACTTTTTTTTCTACCCTGAAGATGGAGGCGATACGTTCCTCCGAAACGTCGGTTAACACCACATATACACGGTGCCAAATCCCAGAAGACTGCTTTCTTCGCAATGTCAGTTGTCCGAACTGAAGGCTTCCTCAAGACTACTGCTGGCATAAAAGTAAAATTTAAAGTTCCTGTACTCAATTAATTGAGCACTATACGATGGAGATGTAAACGGGAGTGGAGGTATAGCTCCACCATTCTTGGCCTCAGCACTAGATGGAGGTGAGAAATCAACTTCACGCCCTGACCACTTTACTGCAAGGCAAAGAGCGGCCGGTACCCATTGGATAGGAGACTAGGTGGATCCCAGAGCCATTCCTGAAGCTGTGGAGTACAGACAAATATCCGTCCCTCTGAGGGAATCGTTCTCCGGCCGTCCAGCCAGTCGCTATGCCGACAGCCACACCGGCTCTTCTACTTCTGGCATACTGAATCTACTCTGCTGAGTCAGCGGAAATGATGACGTCAGAAGTGTGACATGGTTTCTTTAAAACAGGCTACCGCCGGTATATTATAATTCACAACCAACACTGTCTTCATAAATTTAGTGTCCAAATAATCTCAACACTTTGGGAAGAAGCAGAGAGCAAAGTAACTTCCAAAGCAGTTCAAACGTTTCACGTTTTTTTTTTCGGAAAACGGTATTCACCCCATATAAGATTATGTTACAAAGAGAAATTGGAGGTGTTCGTGCACCGAACGTACTGCGGACTGTCGAACACAATGCGTTTGCCCAGACGACAGCTGAACAAAATGGCCGAATTCCAGAAAACTCAGTAACCTCAATACGAAGGCCCGCCAGACGGTTCCAAATTAACAACCAAGCGAATTTCTACGGCTGGAGCGACACAGAACCGTTTGATGTCGGACAACTGCACAGTCCAGTGGCTACCAAAAATGAAAAATAATACTGCGTTCACAGGAATGAGTTTCGAACTGGTGACGACAGCTGACAACAACTGGAGCTAGGCAGGCAACAATTCCAACCATACGAGAACATTACATGTAGTTTCATGCAGCAGCGCGCATCAGGTAAAAAGAGTCTGACGCTTTTCTGTCAAGTCGGGCCGACCCATAACGCATAAGTTGGCTTCACAAAAACGCTAACTCGGAACTCACGGCATTTTGAAGCATGTAAGCGCTGTGGGAAGTGCGGAAACTTCTGCCACTACTCCAAATAAACGGATGACATGTAAGATTTTAGGTTTTCACGGCGGTGACTTTGAAGACGGCAGCCTTCTGGGATGTGGCGCTGTGTACATATTGTGTTAACCGACGTTTCGGAGGAACGTATCGCCTCCACCTTCAGGGTCTTGCGGGGTTTCTTATTTTTTCTACTACCCTGAATATGGAGGCGATATGTTCCTCCGAAAACGTCGGTTGACACAATATCCACACAACGCTACATCCGAGAAGACTGCTTTCTTCATAAACAGATGACAGTTTTCGTTACGTCTGCTGTCTTATCGGCTACCTTTCTGAAACAATGTCTTGGAACACGAGATCCTATAAAGCCCTTACTCTAGCTGCCATTTTCCCGTTGATAAGATGGACCACTTTACTTACCGCACATCGGTAGGGTGGAAATCGGCTCAGCCCCGGCCGGGTGTCCCGCATTGCGAGATAGTGTTGATCCCCAGGGCCGGCCCACTGCCCTAGGCACTGGAACGTCACGTCTGTAAACATATAACTCTCTTAGACCAACTTCCTTTTTTCTTGGTTTCTTTGGCTGGGGTGAGGCTGAGTCCACTTGCTACGTCGGCCACTTCTGGCCTATTGTACGTACCAGCCCCATATTATGGATGATGATTGTGAAGCAGTCGGTGGAATGACAATTGGCAGGGGAAACCGAAGTACTGGGAGAAAACCTGCCCCAGCGCCACTTTGCCCACCACAAAACCCACATGATCTGACCCGGGCTCGAACCCGGACCGCCGCGGTGGGAAGATGGCGACTAACCGCCTGAGCTATGGCGCGGCCCTAGACCAACTTTACTGAACTTCTTCCCGTCTGCATGTAGATAGCTACTGTTGCTTTATACATGGGCCCAAAAAGTGTAGGCCTATACACACTTCAGTGTAGTAAATATCTGCTTCAATACTTTGTTGGTATATCTACGGTTCAACTCTGAAAATACACCAAGAAGTTATTTAAGCAGATATTTTCTAAGTTCAGGGTGTGTATACATTTTTTGGGCCCCCTCTCAATATTCCAGAGATAGCACATACCTGCGTAAACTTAAGAATGAGAGCGCTACAGAAATCATTTTCCTGTGAATATCTGCCAAGAGATGTTAAATAAAAGTAAACAGATCTCAAGATGTATGTGGAACTATTTCATGAACACTAAGGAATAAAGACTGAACAAAAACAATATTCTGGTTTCATGAAGTTATGGCAATTTCAATATGATTATGACAGAAAAGCTAGAGATACTGAAGACTGAGGGCTCGACTAGAATGTGAGTAGATGAACTGAAATATTTCAGATACGTGTAGTGTTGCAGTAAAATCGACAATAAGAAATTAAGATATAACAACATGGATGGTAATTCCTCCACTGAACCAAATTACGTACAGAAGAAAACAGAAATGGAAGGCCAAAATTACCGTATTTACGCATGTATAGGCCGCAGCACAATTTTCAGACAGAAATTATAGAAAAAATAATTTTCTTGGAATATTATTTCAGGAGTATTACACCCTGTATTACTAATTATGAATATATTTTTTTTTAAATGAAGTGTGATTTCGAATATTTCGAATATAAGCCGCACCCCAGTTTTCCTCTTGAATTTTTGGCAAAAAATGTGCGGCCTATACATGCGTAAATACGGTAATATATATGAGACAAACTCCGTCATAAGTGCAACAATTTAATTGTAGTTCTTTCTTCTTCCCTTCCACCACACAATTGACGCGTGTAGGTTAACAAAGATTTTATACATACATACAATTAGAAAGACTAGTGATTTTAAATTTTAAACTACGGGCAGTGTAGCAGCTACGTAAGAATACACACCTGATGATGGCCATTTAGGGCCGAAACATGTAGTGTGGAGGAAGGGAAGAAGAAAGAACTACAATTAAATTGTTGCACTTAAGACGGAGTTTGTGTCATATATATTGTGTGAGTGTAACAGGATGCTTAAATATAACATTGTAGGCCAAAATTAACATTATATAATCAAGGGACTCAAAAATGTAGAGCATTAATATTCATTTGGCGCCTCGGCGACGAGACTTAAACACGGGGCCGCAGGATGTGGTATGCCACTGGTCGCCTTACACCATTAAAAGTGTTACAAGCCGTCGGAATACCTGAACAGCTGCCCAGGGTGCGGCAGTCTGAACTTTAGCATCCCTCCTTCTGTTTGGCAAACTAGTCACATCTTGGGGGGGGGGGCACAGCACAGAAATACTTCTGCTAAGTGAATGCAAGTACTATTGTGTGTCTATAACACATTTCTGAGGTTCCATCGCCATTAATGGTGTAGACCGTTACGCCATATTCAGCATGTCACCNCACCAGACTATTTTCAACATTCAGTCATAATGAAAATTGGTATATCAGAGTTTTCGTTGAATACACAGGGATTTTCTTCAGTGTGGATGCCTACCCAGGATACGACATACTCACAAGGACGTTTTACATAAACAGTACTATGACTACTGCGTCTTACAGACTTCTTTACCATCACTGTATATATATACACGTATATACGTGTATATACAGGATGTTTCACGACTTTAGGGCATAACTGCAGGAGGTGATTTCCTAGGTGTCTGTGATCAAAAAAGTTCATATAAACATGTGTCCGATTTTGGACGGTTACGGAGTTATGACCGTTTTAAACTCAGAGTAGAAGGTAAC